CAGAGAGAACACTTCATCATTGCATCTCCAGCCCTTTCTTGTTGCTTTCCTGATGACAGCTCAATGTGGGTGCCTTCACCTTTATGCTCAACATATTGTACTGTTTCAAATGTTATTTTTTTGCCACAAGACATCTCTTACACCCTTAATAATGACTATTTTGTTTTCTTACTTCAGCTTGTCCTTGAAACTCTAAAAACAAAATCTCTCAATGGGACATATTTATTGTTACATATTTGGAGTTGTCTGATAAATGATTTAGGTCATTGATAAATGAATCTATGCCCTCTCCTGGCTTGTGATTCCATTTATTATTTTTTCCTGATTATTGTATTGTACTAAAGACTGTGCACATATCAAAAGCTCTGATAAACTCATTCTAAGTGGGTACTTACTAAAATGGCATTGTCCGCAATGCTGCTAATTGCATACGGTAGTTTAGTGTAATGACCAGCAGCTTACTTGATTTAGATGCCAACTCTGGCGCAATGAGTAAATCGTTTGCACCAATTAATTGAATGAGTGAGTAAGTGAGTGATTGAGTGAATGAGAGCAAGTCTATATTTGGAGGAGCAGCTGCTCACCAATTCCTTTGTTTCTATTTATAGGGACAACACTTTTCAAATGGTTGCCCCCATGGTTAAATATTCCTACATAACTTGTCAATTTTGGCAGTAAATTCACCCATCGCCCTATGTATTGAGAATGTTGGACTGTAGAGGATTAAGAAGGCATTAATCATCATTTTCCCAAGAGTGTTTGGGTGTGGGCAACAAATGTTACCCTCGGTATTAATGCTTGCATGTCTTGAAAGAATGAAACAAATTTAATCACAGCTCAGCTGTAACTTATCCTTCGATCCATATCCTTTAATTATCTCGCCTAACAATAAATCATCCTCAATTTTTACACCTTCAGTTGACCTAACCTGTTTTTTTTAATGGATTGTTTCAGATTTCCAGCATATTTTGTATTTACATTACTCATCTTCATCCTTCAAAACAGTACGTTAAGGTTATGTCCATTGCTCAAGGCTCTTGAACTAGATGGAATAATTTCTATTTAATTACACTAGCAATTTCTTTAACATCTTGAACATTCCAATTAATAAAAAGTCCCTTAATCTTTTAAACACAAGGAGATAGAAGCTCACACAAGCCAACAAGTAATTGGTTCCTATGATTCTTATGATATCATCTCAGTTAGAATATACGAAATAGGAGTGGATCTTTTGGTCATTCAACATGAACATGGCTTATCATTAAAATAACTACATTTGCCTGCCTGCTTCCTATATTCCTTGATTCCCTGAGGGGTCAAGCATCTATCCAAGTTTCAATGATGGAGCAATTATTACCTTCAGAGATAAGGAATTCCAAAGACTCACAAACCTTTGAGTGATGAAACTTTTCTAAATAATTGCTTCCTTATCCTGAGACTGTGTACCTGTGTTCTAGATTTGACGATTAAGGGAAATAACCTGTCAGTCTCTTATCCAATCAAAGGCCTTCAAAGTCTTGGTGAACGTGCATCGCACCCCTTCTCAGGTCCATTCATTCTTCCCCAGATAGAGTCTCCAGAAAAAAAATGCATAACTTCAAATGGGATCCAACTAGAGCTATATATAGCAATAAAACTTTCATTTCTTTGTACTCACTTCTCTTTGAGATGAAGGCAATCCGTTGACAATCATATTTTTGAACCTGTCCACCAGCTTTCATTGATTTCAGTATTGGACTCGTAAATCTCTCCTCTCATTTACTATCTTCTTGCCGTGAAAGGAAACTCCAATCTAACCTTCTTAAGTACAAAGTATTGCTGCAGAATTCCTGGACATTGACCTGTTTTTGTAGCCACATTATTCATATGACTGATCCAATTCAGCTTCTAGTCAATGGTAGCCCCCAAGCTATTGATATTGCCTTGAGATGTTTTATTACATTAAGAAGTGCTACATAAATACAAAGTATTATTATTATTTCCACGTGCCCTCAGATAAACTGCATGCTATTTTATTAATATTTCTGGCATGGAGTTTGACATATTGTACGTGGAGGAACATGCTGAGGTTGAGCTTCTGTTGGGGGATTTTGCCTGTCAGGTAATGGTAATGAACATTGGGGTTTGTAATGGCAAAGTTGAGAGTCATTAAAACAAATTGATATTAAATGATGAGTAAACCATTCAATGCTTGCATTGTTTATATTAGTCTTAACGAATAATGCTCTCAGCAAAGTAAAACTGCTAAGCCAGAAAATGGCTACAGTGCAGGTTAAAACTGAAGTCAATTGTTAAGGGCTTTTTTTTTGTCATGACTTTGATGGAGTAGGATTGGGCAAGTTAACACTCTTAGTCACATTTTTAGTTCCCTGCACATTGATTTCTGTACATAGCTCTCGAAAGGAATTTTTGAAAAGGAAATAAAAACTTGGACTACTTTAGCTCCTTATACCATCCCGGGATATTCCAAAGCATGCAATGAATGACAAATTAACAAAGTCTAGTCACTACTGTTCTAAACAATGATATTTCAATTGAAGGAGCCATTACACTTACACTTTCTTGGTCAAAGAACTGCTTCAGCTTTAGTTGCCACCTCCTCTTTCTCCGGAGTACACCGAAGGACTGAACTGAACAGCACATGAAACACACCCAGGGTTCCATCGCTTCAGCCTGCTTTGCAGCACCAGGCTTCACAAGAGCATCCAAACACTCACAACAGTAGCACCTACAAGGCATTGGCAACATTGTTCATTCACAGGAACATCAATGAGAAACTATCACCAATTTTATGCAGCTGCTTGTTGTAATTGAATCAGGCTATTCACTATGCTGAACAATGAAATAGATAAAAAAAAGTTATACCAATAATCTATTTATTCCACCTGTTCAATAGTGGTTACATGAAGATTTATTATATAACACATAGAACATTCTGATTGCTGGGACATTTTAAATGTATAAATATATAGTTCATTACATCTAATCAATGGGAGGATTTTCAGGTTTAAACGTTAAAATGTTAAACAAGTTAGAGCTTGTACAAGGATATGCTCCAGAAACATGGGTATATGCATCTCCAAAAACAAATCACACCACCAAATCCATTGACCTGATTTATCACAATTAGAGTCATAGAGATGTACAGCATTGAAAAAGACCATTCGGTCCAATTTGTTTAATCTGACCAGACATCCTAAATTAATCTAGTCCCATTTGCCAGCATTTGGCTCATATCCCTGTAAACCCTTTCTATTCATATACCTATCCAGATGCCTTTTATATGTAGTAACTGTACCAGACTCCACCACTTCCTATGGTTGCTTGTTCCATACATGCACCACCCTCTGTGTGAAAAAGTTGCCCCTTCGGTCCCTTTTAAATCTTTTCTCTCTCAGCTTAAACCTATGACCTCTAGTTTTGGAGATAGTAGGAACTGCAGATGCTGGAGAATCTGAGATAACAAGGTGTAGAGCTGGATGAACTCAGCAGGCCAAGCAGCATCATAGGGGCAGGAAGGCTGATGTTTCGGGCCTAGACCCTTTTCTGATGAAGGTCTAGGCCCGAAACGTCAGCCTTCCTGCTCCTATGATGCAGCTTGGCCTGCTGTGTTCATCCAGCTCTACACCTTGTTACCTCTAGTTTTGGATTCCCCTACCCCGGGAAAAGACTTTGACTATTCATCCTATCCATGCCCCTCATGATTTTATAACCTTCTATAAGGTCACCCCTCAGCCTCCAACACTTCAGAAAACATAGCCGCAGCCTATCCAACCTCTCCCTATAGCTCAAATCTTCCAACCCTGGCAACATCCTTGTAAATATTTTCTGAACCATTTCAAGTTTAACAACATCTTTCTTGATACATTCTTGTCTTTTTCTGCCACTTGAAACTTTGTTTTTGGAACATTAATTTGCAAAATCCATCTGCATGCCTGCACACAATGCACATCGTAGGGTGTACGCATTAGCAGCATGTTTGCTCCAATCTAATGTGTTTGCGCTCCATCTGTTGCATAAGATTGGTATTACACTGGCTCAACATTAATCTTCACTATTCTGTATTAAGACAGATAGTCCTTACAGGTAGACACAATTACAGACAAACACCACCCATTAACACAGATACTGTACAGTAAAAAAAATTAATACCACATTAAGACAAATATTGCTATTTAATCTCTCTAGCCAGTCACAGATCTTCTCCTTTAATGCTTTCTTGTTCTTTTCCCTTTCCCTTCTTCTGTTTTGGCTTAAAATCTGTTCCATCCTTAACTTGCCATGTCTGATGAAACATTAGCTTTGTTTCTTTCACAAACTGTTCATGTTGTTATGTAGAATCTTTGCAATTTTCTAATTAGTTCAAGAGATTGAATAAGGAAAAACAACTTTAATGTTAATTATGTGTTTAGAATACAATTAGTGGAGATGATGACAAGGAATCCAACACTCCCTCAAAGAACTTCTGCTAAGGTTTCTGAAGAAAAATGATTAATGTCTTAAAAGCATACTGCCTGTACCTCTTACACCCAGAGTTTCCACACATCAGCACTTTGGTTCCACCACAGCAAATTGTGCAAAAAGATTGGTACCCATCCTGATCATAAAGGAACATAGTCTCCAAGAAATTATCCTAGTGAAAGAAACACATAGCTGTTACAGTGCAAATAAAACTGTAAACATAGAGAAATGTATGAAAGCCCGTCAGTACTTGAAAGGAGCAAAGAAATCATCAACGAATGGAATAGTTTAGGTTAGATGGGCTTCAGATTGGTTTCACAGGTCGGCGCAACATCGAGGGCCGAAGGGCCTGTACTGCGCTGTAATGTTCTATGTTCTATGTTCTATGTTTTGAATGTCCACCTTTTCCAGATTCTGTACTCTTGTTAAAAAACAAAGTACAGCTATTGAAGCAGGTCTGAAATTAAAATAGAAAGCATTGGCGAAACACAGTCCTGCCTGCTTCAGTGGAAAAAGAAACTCGGTTAATGTTTTGAGTTCGATATGACTTATTCAGAACTTAAAACGCAGACCTGGACACTGAACTGAAATCTAAATTACAGATTTTGGAATTTGCTATTATCTGGAAAAGCAATTATATCGAAAACCAAATTGACTCATATCCATATAGCAAGGAGGATTAAGTGAGTGAAAAAAAATGACTGCTTTTGGGTGGCATGCTAGTTCAGTGATTAGCAAACTGTGCCAGGGACCTGGGTTCAATTCCACCCTCAGGCTATATGTGCGGAGTTTGCATGTTCTCCCTGTGGGTTTCCTCTCACAGTCCAAAGATATGCAGGACAGATTGATTAGCCCTGCTAAATTATATCTAAATTATATCCATAGTGTCCAGGGATGTGCAGGCTAGTTGAATTAGCCTTGGAAGTACAGGGTTATAGGGATAGGTTGGGTCTGGGTGGGCTGAATGGCCTGCTTCCATACTGTAGGGATTCTATTATCTCAGTCCTGAATCATCTACAATCTGTAAACTAAACTGCAAAGTTAAACGTGCTTGCTAAATATGGTATTGTGGAAATTTTGTTTCATTTTTCTTGTTCTGCATTTGAGTTCTTTGCTTAGGTGGACAAATTGGGAACAATATAGGAGCAAATTACTGCAGATGCTGAATCTGTAAAGCATAAAAAGCTGGAAATCACAGTGGGTAAGGCAGCATCCATGGAGAAAGATCTATTTTCCAAGGCTACTTTGTACTTGTACTCGCAATCTATAAAATAACTTGCATCAATTCCATTGAAGTTAACTCTCTCAACAGATATAAGGCATCCCATTACCTCTCATTAATAGTGACAAAGCCATTGGCCCATTTACTAGTTAACATAGTTGTCATACACATTTGCATTTCCCTGTAGATTATTTTATGTTCAGTACCTTACATGGATCACAAAGTCCTCCTTCAAAGAGTGGATGCTGAGTAATCACTTGTAGACTCCCACAGCTGATGCATATTTCTATCATGTAAAATATGAGTGCGATTTACTCCACTGTCTGCAGCAAAGCTTCCATATACTTAGTAAGTATCATATCATTTGCAAGAACTTTTAGCCACACTTGAGGGCAGAATAATGTACATGTCAGAGCTTATCTGGAATTCAGAGTGAGATTTAAATTTATTCAAAATCATTCATTTACAGAGAATTACAATCAAGCTCTTAGAAGTGTCTACATCAATTTGCCAATTTTCCTCCATCAAAAAACACTTCTGATTCTAATGCATAATTATTTTATATCATTTCTGTGTCTTGTGCCTTTTATCTCTTATGCAGATTATTCAAATGAGAATTCAAATTACAAGGTTAAATAGAGCCATTAATGTACTGAAATGACTAAAAACACTTCACAATAATGTTATACAGCAAAGTTGCACAGCAAGGCACTTTAGGAATGTTAGGATAAAACTCATAAAGGTCAAACTAAATGGATAACTCTTGCAAATAGCGGGAATGATTGAAAAGGTAACTTTTCTGATAACTGATTATACTTTTCATTTACTCACATAGTTTCCTCACAAAAATGATACTTCCATGGGTATTATCAGCTTATTGCACTCAGTTGAAATGACCACACCTTTGTGTCCCCAAACAGTGAATATTATCCAGCTAGTCTGCTGTAATAAAAACAGAAGTTGCTGGAAAAGCTCAGCAGGTCTGGCAGCATCTGTGAAGAGAAATCAGAGTTAACATTTCAGATCCGGTGACCCTCCTTCAGAACTGAGCTTTTCCAACAACTTCTGTTTTAGTTTCTGATTTACAGCATCTGCAGTTCTTTTCAGTTTGTAGTCTGCTGTAATGGCTGGCATTGTCAACCCTGCCTATCAGCTCACTCTAAGCCTGCTTAGGCAGACAGTGCAATTTTCAGTTTTGTGGCTGCCCAAAGATATTCTTATGAGGGGGGAAAAATGCAAACCAACAAACCCAAAATCCTCCCTATGAAAAAGCAGCTAGACATTAAAGCCAACATCAACAGGGACCCAGGTCTGATTCCACCCTCAGGCGACTATCTGTGTAGATTTTGCACATTCTGCCTGAGTTTCCTCGAGGTGCTCCAGTTTCCTCACACAGCCCAAAGATGTGCACATTAGGTGGGTTAGCCATGGGAAATGCAGGTTTATGGAGATAGTTTAGGGGATAGGGATCTTTGGAGGATGGTGTGGACTCAATGGGCCGAATGGATCATTTCCACATTTTAGGGATTCTATGATTCTATGAACAAGAAAACAAGTGCATGCAACAGTTGTTGGGTGAATAATACAATTGAGATTAAAATTCAGTACAGAAGGTTCAGAAGGAAGCTGAAAGAAAAGTAAATATAAAAGAAACAGCATGAAAAGAGATGGACAGCAAAAATCTAAGGAAATGTAAAATATTCTTCTGTAAGCATATAATTAGTAAAAAGCAGGTTAAAGGAGGATTGGGGATCATTAGGGGTCAAAAATGATTTACACACAGAATCAAGGGTATTTCTGAGGAATTCAGTCAAACTTTGCATCAGTCATTACTAAAGAAGGTACTGCCTGGGTCATAGCAAAAAATGAGGTGGTTCAGACACTTGAATGGATAAAATTAATGAAGAGGTGTTATTGGGTTGATTGTATTTAAATTAGATAAGGCATCAGGGCCTGATTGGTTCATCGAAGGATCCTGTGAGAAGAGAAAGCAGGAGTCGCAAAGGCATTGGCCATATCTTTTCAATCCTCCTTACGTATAGATATGTATACAGGATGCTAGAGGACTGGGGAATTGTGAATGTCACAGCTGTAATCCCTTGCTCTCTATCTTGCATGTGCACACTAAACCTCAGTGAGCCAATGTGTTACTCACTTGGAATCATGTAACCACGTTTTTACTTCTTTCCTAGTAATGAGTGCTAACTGGCTGTGGAATGCTAACTCCTGTGAGCTGAGTTTGTCCCATCATGGTGGAATTGGCAATGGAGAATGAAATGGTACCCTGACCGAAGAACTACACTACAGACAGAAGAACAGAAAGGCAGGATGGAAAAATACTGATCGAGACAGATTCCTGCCAAAGCCCACGAGGTAATTTTAAAACCTACTCTGGAGCTGTGACCAGTCCTGTAGCCCATTGCTCCTGTCATGTACTGATGTCTCCTCCTTGACTCCATCATTGAAAGAATCATGCAGTTGGAGGTATCATCCCTGAAAACTGCCTGTTTTTATTCAAACAAAACTTTAAATAGCAGGCCAGAGTAATTACATATGACCATGATTTCAAATAGGACAATAATGTGATCCAAAAAAAAACAATTTAAGGGGTCAGAAACTGATCTTTGCCTCATATGATACACAGTCAGAGCAAGGGGAAGGTATATAAAAAAAAAGACTTTTCATAAACAACTTGCTATTGCACTCAGGTAAGAGTGGCTTGGTCATCTGCTTTGTAATCACCAGGAGATCTATTAACGGATTGACCACCTGAGACAAGCCTTGGTTTGTGGGACTTCTATGCAACCAATGAATGTGTGCTATTGCTTAGTAATGTAATAAAGTAGCATCACATTAAGTGGAACTGCATCCAAGTTGTAAACGCTGGAAGAACTGCAGATGCTGTGAATTAGAAACAAAAGCAGAAATTGCAGGAAATGCTCAGCACGTCTGGCTGCATCAGTGGAGATAAATCAGAGTTAACGTAACAGGTCTGCTAAAGGGTCACTTGACCCAAAACATTAACTCTGATTTCTCTCCACAGTTGCTGCTAGACCTGCTGAACTTCTCCAGCAATTTCTCTTTTTGTATTCAAGTTGTGAGGTGCCATTGATATCTAGCCGAAACCTTTAGACCTAAAAGTTGGTTTTACAATTTGGCGAGCCTAACCAGTCATTTGAAAGATAAAGAAATGGTAAAACATATTGTGGATGGGTTAGTCACGAAGTGCAAAACAGAGGTATGACCTCTTCAGCACTGGTAGGTTTGGGTTATTCTGAATAGGAATGATCTGGTAAGTTACCTCAGAGGTGGATAATTCAGTTACTGAAAGGGAACGGTTGATAGATGCTTGTAAACCCATTCCAAAAGGAATGTGGAGAAATGAAACTTTGAATGGAGTCAGAGAAAGGTTCATTGGAATTAAGTCAGGAGCAACTCAGTAACCCAGAATGTTGTTGAAAAAAGATACGGCAGGGAAAATATTTGAGTATAAGTCGGGTCTCGTGCTTTTTTTGGAGTTTTATTTGTATTCATTTATGGGATGTGGGTGTTGTTGATTGGGCCAGTATTTATTGCTCATACCTAATTTTCCTTGAATGTGGAATTGAGCTGCCTTTTTGAACCACTATAGTCCATTTGATGTAGGTAGACCTACAATACCTGAGGGAGTGAGTTCTAGGATTTTGAGCCAGCAACACTGAAGGAACAGCAATACATTTCCAAGTCAGGTTGGTGAGTGGATTGGATACCTGCTCTTTTGAATGGTCTAGTACTACCACCCACTAGGAAAATATTTATCATGATGTTCACCTTGACATCAGATGGAGTGAATAAAATTGGCTGAAGACTGGCATTTGTGATGCTGGGGACCTCCAGAGGAGGTCGAGATGGATCATCCACTCAGCGTTTCTAGTGGAAGATTGATGCGTTGACGTCCTTGGCTGAAGATGAGTGCAAAAGGGCACCAATGTCCAGAGCTCACCCATAATTGAGGATGGCATATTATAGAATATCCTTCTCTAGTGAATTGTTGAATTTTCCACCAATATTCATGACTGTATGTGGCAGACCTGCAGAGCTTAGATCTAAGACAACAAGGTGCAGGGCTGGATGAACACAGCAGGCCAAGCAGCATCACTGGAGCAGAGAGGCTGACGTTTCGGGCCTAGACCCTTCATCAGAAAAAGGAGAGGGGAAGGGGGTTTTGAAATAAATAGGGAGAGAGTGGGAGGCGGATAGAAGAGGGATAGAGGAGAGGATAGGTGGAGAGGAAACAAACAGGTCGAAGAGGCGGGGATGGAGCCAGTAAAGGTGAGTGTAGGTAGGGAGTTAGGAAGGGGATAGGTCAGTCCAGGGAGGACGGACAGGTCAAGGGGGCGGGATGAGGTCGGTCGGTAGGAGATGGAGGTGCGGCTTGAGGTGGGAGGAGGGGATAGGTGGGAGGAAGATCAGGTTAGGGAGGCAGGGACGAGCTGGACTGGTTTTGGGATGCGGTAGGGGGAGGGGAGATTTTGAAACTTAGCTTAGATCTAATCCTTTGACTGTGCAATCACTTAGCTCTGTCTATCACTCGCTACTTATGCTGTTTGCGTGCAAGTAATGCTATTTTGCACCTTCACCAGATTGATACGTCATTTTAAGGGTATGCCTAGTGCTACTCCTGGCATGCCCTCCTGCACTCTTCATTGAATGAGGTTTGATCCCCTGTTGTGATGGTAATCTCAAAGTGGGGTATTTGCCAGGCCACTAGGTTGGAGATTGTGTTGGATTATGATTCTGCTGCTATTGCCTTATAAATGCTTAGTCTTGAGTTGCCAGACCTGTTTTTAGTCTGTCCTATTTAGCACAATGATAGTAACACAATGTGTTGTGTGGCACTATCAATGTTAAGTTGGTACTATAATTCGGCTTTCAGAGGTAAAGGAATAGTAAGAGTATGATGGCATTATTGAATGTAATGAAAGTACTTTTGTTTCAGTTAAATATACTAGTTGCTGGTTAGGTAGTGTTTTTTTTTGTTTGTTGCAGTAAAAGTCTTAAAGTGTAAAATTATATCCTTTCGATATTTCCATAGGTTGTTGGAACATTCATTTTTCTTTTAACGGTTATAGGTGTTTACAGGAATTGTGAATAATTTTATCATATTTCCTTAATTTTGCATACTATGCACTTCTTTATAAAGCCCAGGATCCTGTACATTTCATCAACTGCTTTCTCAACCTGCTATTCTTACTTCTTTTTACTGTGGAGACACAGTGCATCTTGGGTCACTTTTATTGGCCAGTTATCTGAGGGGCTGTAGTTTGCCTTGTAAAAAATAAAAGGAAATTAAGGATGACCAATTGCTGTCTTTGTCAACGTTCTCACATCCCATGAAAGATTTTAAAAAAAAAGCACACTACATTTTTTGAATTATTGACAGTTTTCAACTTACTTAGGAGTACTACTTTCCTGATGAAGTATTAGTCAATATTAGTGAAAGTGTCTATCAAATATCCCACACCTACATTATGGATGATAATGGATGATAATGGAATAGTTTAGGTTAGATGGGCTTCAGATTGGTTTCACAGGTCGGCGCAACATCGAGGGCCGAAGGGCCTGTACTGCGCTGTAATGTTCTATGTTCTATGTTCTATATTCTATGAAGGAAATTATCCCTTACACCAGTTAAAGCATGTCACAGAGAAAGGGTAAGAGGGAAAAAATGTAAGAAGAGGGAGTGGATGAGAAATAAATAATAGAAGTCGGCTCCAAATTACAAAAACATGATTAACAGAAGCTAAAGGCTCATGCATTGAAAAGGATGAAAGATGTAATGAAGGCTAGACTGATCTATTCACACCGAATGTTCGGAAATCATACGCACACTTTCCCACCATTTGTTACCTATTAAACTATCACAGGAAGCCACGTCAAGTGAGCTAGGATCTCCCATTTGTCTTTCCATTTGGCAAAACTCTTTTCTAACAGTTCAGATTCTTTACTTTGGATTATAAACATGCCTGTCCTATGAACGGTGATCAGACAATTCCAGGCACATCTCCAAAAGTCCAGGGTTTTAGGTAGTAGCATGTCCCAACACCATTACTACTGAAATATCCAGGATCAGATGTCATTCAGACCCAGGGTGATTTTATTTAGCAGAAAATCTGATGATGGAGCTGAAAGTGAAAGCTACTGCCAGGCGGATCATAGCTAGAAGAGGGCAATAAAAAAAATTTCTTCTATGCTTGTTTATGGATCAAGAGATGGCATACTAATGTAAGCTCCAAAAAATCTTCTATGGGCTTCATCTGCAGGCTTCCCTTTCCTTCCCATGAAAGCAATCATAAAGCTTGGCAATTTCTTTGAGCATTCATGAACAGATAGCTTCCATGTGATTTTCTGTTCCCATCTTCTGACCATCTCATCCTTCTCAGTGAGTCACATTTTGCAAAACTGAAACATTTCCTAGAACAAAAATAGTCCCAGGCCCAGTGATCACCATTGAAATGAGCACTTGTCATTATCTCAATGCCATATTATTGTGCTTGAATATTATCTCCAAATGCAGGGCTGAACCGTACACCTTTATACAATGGTTGTCTTGCTACTTCCTTCCTGCAACTACCTCTATCTCTATCCTACAGAACATAATTTTCATGCTCTCACTGACTTTGGTTTATAGATACTCCATCTGATCCCTCTGCTGTGTTGCAGAGTTCAACAAATGCAGTTTCCTTATCCACCTCAATCTATTCTTGATTCTCACTCTAAATCATTACTCTCAGTTCTTCACATGGTTTTACTATCTCTGCACTACTGCTTGATTCTGTTGCTAACCTTTCCATTTAGATGCATCCATTCTTTCTGTTGTTTACACAGCGTAAGTGCTATTTTTCAAAAAATCATTAGACGTAAAGCAATTGGGATATTATTGAGAAGTTTGAAAAGGAACTGAGCAATTTTTCATATAGTTCTTTCCTTTTCTTGTTCAACGTGTGAAATGCACACTTATGTTTTACTAGAGTCTTCCTGATCCATTATCCAAGTCCCAATCTATATTATTGCATTTCTGTTTACTTTTTTTGTTGATTCATATTTTATAATTCTCTCTTTTCTACTCTCTCCTTCCTCCACCCCCTGATGTTGCTACATTTAGTGATTTTCCTTAACCCAGTTGGTTCTGGTTCCTAGCATTTCTAACTGGATTTTTTTTGTCCTGTCCTTTTCAGTTTGGAAGATTATTTTAAAGTATAAGAAAGAGGAACAGGAGTAGTCCATTCAGCCCTTAACAGCATATTCTATTCTTCAATAAGTCCATGGTTGATCTTCTCCTCAGCACAACTTCCTCTACTATCCTTGTATTCTTCAACTTCATAGTAGTCAAAACTTCACTATGGTCTCTTGAATTTATTTAAGGTATGAACATCCACAGCTCCCTTGGGTAGACAATTTCAAAGATTAAAATGCCTTTGAATAGAAAAATTCCACATGATCTCATGTCCAATTATCTGACACCTCTTGTGGAGATAGCAACCGCTCATTTAGGACTTTACAGCCAGAAAAAAGGATTCCCACAGAATATACTTGATCCAAAACCATTAAAATTGTATCAATTACAGTGAAAACATAACTTATTCTTTTAAATTCTCCTAAGTAAATGCATAATCTAATCTTATATCAAGACTTAGCCCAGGGGACTTTTGTTGCATTCCTTATAATGCAAACACATGAATATTTTTGTCAATTCTGGAGAAATTTTAGTCATGAGATTAAAATTGATCTGATATAAACTTTATATTAAGGCCCATTTAAATTGTTTTATCATTTGATGGTATATTTATGATAGATGAAACTGAGCATATAATATTGAAATAATATTACCATTCCTGATGATTCAATTACAGTTTTCTTCAAAAATGGACATCAATATCTGGCATTTAAAAAAAACTTCAAAGGAATGAAGATGGCAATTAGAATAAACAATCTCATTAAAATAAACAAATAATGTGATCAAAGCCTAGCTCATAATCCTTAAAGTAGAAATGGATAAGTCGGAACTAGCAAGGATTCATGACATTGGTGGAAGGATTGAGAACCTGTAGATACAGATTCGAGGAGACTGACTGAAAAAGCAAAGTTAATTTGAGGAAACGTTTTATCTGCAGTGAGTGGTTAGAATCTAAAATGCTGAATTTCAGAGCGCGTGGTGATGGCAGATTCAAGCATAGTTTTCAAAAGTGATCATGATCCAAGGAAACAAAAATGCAAAGCAATCGAGTTGGAATAGTGGAACTGGATGAACTATTGTTGCAAAGAATCAGAATGGCAGTCCCTAGATCCTCCTTCTGCACTATAATAATTTTATGATTCCACAGTTGTATTTCCCACTGACACAGCATGGATTGAATAGATTCACTGTGAATCCAAGGTCCGGCCTGACATAAACCTACAGTGAAGCTTCCTGCAGGAGGAGCTCCAAGTTCTCATGAGGAGTCACTGGACTTGAAACATTAACTCCACTTTCTTCCCACAGATGCTGCCAGGCCTGCTGAGTTTCACCAGCAGTTTCTGTTTTAGTTTGAGGTCTAGCCCCACTTTTCTTTGCAGTCAGTTTCATCTTTCACCCCAATTCAAAGAGCAACTGAGTCAATAAACATGGACAATCAATACTGACCTTGCCAGAAATGCCTACATCTCAAAAGCAAGCATTTTAAGTAAACATCTACAACTATAACATGAATGGGTCTTGAGACACTGCAGTAGCATCCTTATCCCTAAGACCAGAAGTTCCTGATTTGAACAAGAGTCAGGATTTATTGACCATGCAAAATGTGTTCTACAACGTGACCAAACAGATTGATTTATTTTTAAGCAACATGTTCAGACCTGTTATAACACACCTCTGAGGCAGGTGGTAATTGAGCCCAGACCTCACAGTCCAAAGGCAGGTACACTACCACTGTGCCATAAAGCCACCCCCCCAACCAAACAGACTAGGTTTCAGAATTACTTTAATCAACCTGCTCAGGGATGTTATGACACAGCTCTCTTGGGTAGACAATTCCAAAGATTAAAATGCCTTTGAATGGAGCAATGCCACCTGATCTTAGAAGGTTAGGCCTCCTAATTCAGACGTAGAGCTCCCAACTCTGAGGTAGGGGCACTACCACTGTACCAACAAGGGTGTTCAGGGCAACCAAACAGTGGAAATATTTTCTGATGGACAGAGATGTTATAATACATATCTGGAGAAGGTGGGTCTCGGACCAGACAGATTGACTAACATCAGCCTGTAACCTTTCTAGTACACCGGATAGCAGCAAGCAGTAACAGCAGGGGAGTTTGGCTGGTCACCGTCCTGCAGAAAGCAATAGCAAACTACTTAAGTGTGGACTAATCCACTGGAAGTAGCTAGCCCAACCGTCGGAAATGAGGACGGGAGATGAGGCACCAAACAATGCAGCCGGACTTGGTGAGAAGGAATCTCAGCAGGTACATGTAGCTTCCAGTAATGCTTAATTAAAAGGTAGACGTACCTTCTATATTCTTTTTGTTATTCTTGATCTGGAACACTATCTGATCTAAAAGGGAAGTGTGGTGTTTCAATTAGAAACTGGTTAACAACAGGGGAAAGAAACACTCAAAAAGCGAGCAATCGATCTGCACTATTTACCTTTGCCCCGGCAGTTTTGACCCATAACTTCCAGAATTGAGCCTCCTTTACTGAATGCTGCAGCTCCGCTGTAAAGCAGTAAGAAAACGTAATTTTAAAATAAATGTAAACAGCACCGTGCAACGCTACAAAGTGGCTCTGTAAAAGTTAATTCAGATCCAATAGGGAGGACCGAGATTAAACCTGCACAATCACAAAGACGAAAGGAAACCCCAGGTAGAAACTTTGCATCTGCTGCATTCAATGGGTGAACATTTCAACTGGGACACATCAAAAAGAATATTCATCCCAATCGATGTCATCCAAGTTGTATAAATTATGAAGTATCCACAGAGATTGTTACTGATAATTGAACAATTTGAAATGATTTCACACTCCACTCACTTTCTTGGTCTGGTTCAGCTGCACTGCCACTATTCTCACTTACCCCTGATCAGAGAACAGACACTGCCATCTGCTGGACATCAATGCGATCCGCAGCTCCACTCCCCAGCTGGAACGACTGGAGACCATTTCATTATAAACAAGCTGGACAATTCTCACGAAGTTGTTCGATAGATCCCTTTCATCAATGCTACTCAAGATTGACAGCAACCTCCAAACTTTACTGCTGATTAATACGGTACATTTTCAATGCTCAGGACAATTAGTTCCATGTGGGAGAGCTGAGAAGTAAGGAGCACCGAAATTGGGGAATTTCCCTTTGGATTCAAAAGGCAAAGTGACCGATTATGAGTAAATGTGATGTCAGTGAAAGTGGTGAAGATGATCATTAATGTAATCTCACAGAATCAGATAATTGCTGGCGAAACTCAGCAGGTCTGACAATATCTGTGGGAGCAAACAGAGTTAATGTTCTGGTGACTCTTCACCAGAACTGAAATGTTAACTCTGCTTTCTCCCCTTAGATGTTGCCAGACCTGCTGAATTTTGCCAGCAATTTCTCTTGTGTTTTTTCAGATCTCCAACATCCACAGTTCTTCGTTTTTAAATTAGTGCAAAGTCCATTGTGCTGGCTGTTTGAGATATATCCTCCTGTCTGATCTGAATCCTAAATTTCAGAGCAGGAAAGCCTGTATCTTTGAGACAATTACATAACTTAAGGATGTGATTTTTTTGGTATAAAGCTTTTCATTCAGTCACACTGCGTGTCATGGAAACAGTGATGTGTGTTCGGTCAGTCAGTAATGCATATTCAACGTTAGCACAGAGCCCACACCATATGTGTAGATCTGGGACAGGGTCACCTTGTAAATAGTCAGCGTTATGAATAAACTTCAAGACATCAACCTCAACACGAAACAAACTCTCTGTTGCACATACTATCTTAGCTAAGAAATAGAAAACCACAAAGTGCATCAGAGTCTACAGGCATGTCTAATTAACAATGGTAGAACATAGACCACTGTTGAGTCTTAACAAGACTACCTGATGCTTCATTCCAAAAACCTGAGCTGCAGGGGTAACTGCTGAGGTGCACAGAGGAGTCTGAGAGCTAGGTTGCTTTCACATTTCTAGATGTAGTCACAGTACAGCTTAAGAATATGCAGGCAGAGAGGGTGAGTACCTCACCATCAAGAAGGACCAGGAAGATGATGCAGGTGTCATCAGAATACACCTTCTTCTCTGCTTAGTATTCATTCTAGTTTCACAAATGTTTGTCAGGATTGTTCATCCAGGGTGCATAGTCACAGACAAGTCAATGACTGACTCAGCTATCCAGTAGGGCAGGATGAAGATTGGAGAAGCTAGTGCTGTTTGGGAGTGCTGCCACTGATTTGAGTGTTTGGGGGGGTGGAATAACGGGACTAATGGTTTGTGCATTGGGACTGCTGTGCAGTAACTCAAATGTAGGATTAGAGTGTAGAAATAAAACACACCAAGGATTTGGAAAAACAAAGAAAACTCAAGAACTTTGACAACATCCAGGGCAAAGCTACCCACTTGATAAGCCTCAATACCACCACCACTAATGTTCAATAGCATGAATGTGTACAAGATACACTGCAGAAATTCACCAAGACTACTTATATAGCATCTTCCAAACCCACAACTGCTAAATCTGCAAACAAAAGCATAAACATACGTACCAAAAGATTCAAGAACAGCTTCTTTCTTGCTGTTATTAAACTTCTGAATGGACCTTTCAAATTTCAAAAATAATATTGACCTTGCTCTTTGTGCAACTTCTCTGCAGCCATATTCCTCGCCCTGTTTTATTACCGTAATGCAATTTGTATGGTATGATCTGCCTGTACAAATTCAGAGTAATAGATGGCTTAAACAAAACGGTAAACTCTACAAACAATTCCAACAACTCAAGACTGGACATCCATGAGGTGCTACATGTCATCATCATTTGAAGAACTGTATTCCAACTCCTGCAAACTCATGCCCTGACATATCCCCCACCCTACATTACTATCAAGCCAGGAGATCAACCCTGGTTTAATGGGCAGTGCAGGAACACATGTCAGCAGCAGCTCCAGGCAATACCTAAAACTGAAGTGTCAACATGGTGAAGCTACAATACAGGACTATTTCCTGTCAAACAGCATAAAGAGCCAGTGATAGGCAGAGCTAAGGGATGACATGGATCAGATTTAAGTTCTGCAGTGCTGCCGCATTCATTGTGAATGGAGATGGACAATTAAACAATTCACTGGAGGAGGAGGCTCTGCAAATATCCCCATCCTCAATGATGGAGGAGCCCATCACATCAGTACAAATGGTAAGGCTGAAGCATTTGACACAATCTTCAATCTTAAGTGCCATGGGGATGATCCATCCTGGCCTCTTCCACAGGTCCCCAGCATCGCAAATACCAGTTTTCAGCCAATTTGATTCACTCCATGTGAAATCAAGAAGCGGTTGGAGGCACTGTACACTGCAAAGGCTGCAGGCTCTGAAGACCTGTGCTCCAGAATTTGCCACATCCTGAGCTAAGCTGCTCAAGAACAGCCACAACCCTGGCATCTACCTGACAATTGGAATATTGGTAAACTGTGTCATTTATGCAAAAAACAGGAAAACTCCATCCCGGCCAATCAATACAGTCAATCATCAATAAAGTGATGAAAGAAGTCATCAACTGTGCTATCAGTCAACACTTGCTTAACAATAACCGCTCACTGATGTTCAGTTGGTTCCACCCAGCATCGCATTCAGCTCCTGACCTCATTACACCCTTAATTTAAACATGGATAAAAGAGCTGAATTCTAAAGGTGAAGGAAGAGTGACTGCTTTTGACATCAAGAGCTGCATTTGACTGAGTGTGGTATCAAGGAGTGGTAGCAATACCAGAGTCAATAGAATCAGGAGATAAACTCTCCATTGGTTGGAATCATAACTGGCACAAAGAAAGATGGTTGTGGTTGTTGTTGGAGGTCAATCATCTCAACTCCGAGACATTTCTGCAGGACGTACTCAGTGTAGTGTCTTAGGCCCAACCATCTTCAGCTGCTTCATCAATACTTTCCCTCCATCGTAAGATCAGAATTGGGGATGACCTCCAATGATTGCACAATGCTCAGCATCATTAAAGACTTCTCAGATACAGAAGCAGTCCATGTCCAAATGCTGCAAAACCTGGACAATATGCAGGCTTTGCCTGACAAGTGGAAAGTAAGATTCATACCAATAAGTGCCAGGCAATGACCATCTCCAATAGAGAGAAACAAATTATTGCCCTCTTGATGTTCAATGTCATTACTAATACTGAAATTCCATAATCAATATCCTAGGGGTTACCATTGTTTAGAAACTGAACTGCACTATCCATATAAATATTGTAAATGCAAAAGCAAGTCAGAGGCAAGAAATGTAAAACTGACCTCCTGAATCTCTACAAAGCCTGTCCACCATTTACAAGGCACAAATTTGGGTGGCACGGTGGCTCAGTGGTTAGCACTGCTGCCTCACAGTGCCAGGGACCTGGGTTTGATTCCACCCTCAGGCAACTGTCTGTGTGGAGTTTGCACATTCTCCCTGTACCTGTGTGGGTTTCCGCCCACAGTCCAAAGATGTGCAAGCTAGGTGGATTGGCCATGCTAAATTGCCTGTAATGTTCAGGGATGTGTAGATTAGGTGGGTTATTTTGGGGGATAGGTCTGGGTGGGATGCTGTGAGGGTTGGTGTGGACTTGTTTCCACACTGTAGGGATTCTATGAAATCAGGAGCATGATGTATTACCCACCCCCGCCCCCACTTGTCTCGTGGAGCGCAGTTCCAATACTACTCATGAAACCTGACATGATCTAGGATAAAGCAGCTCTGTGATTGGCGCCACATCCACAAACATTTCAACTCTCCACCACCAACGCTCAGTAGCAGCAGTGTGCATCATCTACAAGATATGCTGCAACAACTCACCAACATTCCTTACGCAGGACCTTCCAAACCTATCACCACAACCATCAAGAAAAACAAGGTCAGTAGGTATATGGGAACATCACCGCCACCTGCAAATTCCATTCCAAGCTGCTCCCAACCAACTTGGAAATATATCACCATTCCTTCAGTGACACTGAGTTAAAATCTGGGAAATCCATTTGTGAAGACCTTGTGGATCAACCTACAACAATTGGAGTGCAGTGGTTCAAGGAGGCAGCTCACAATTATCTTCTCAAGGGCAACTAGGGATGGGCAATAATTACTACCCCAGCCTAAAATGCCCGCTTCCCATGAATGAATGAATAAATGAAAAATAATTTCAATTTCATACAGCAGTTTGGTTTAATATGGTTTGTTTTTTCACATTAGTGGTTTGACACAGCTTCAAAAGTGCTTAGCTGATTATTCAACGATTTGCAGAATTTCAAGGCATGCACAGAGATTTAGCAGAAACATTCAAGAATAAAACCAGTTAGCACTGGGACGAATTTTTGGAATGTGACATCACCCACTGTAAATAACCCACATGCACCTGGAAATACTCACCAGAATTTAGCATCCATTCATTTTAATGAAACTCATGGGCAGATAAATCTTGACTTCCTTAAATCTGTGACCAAATGGAAGCAAGCAGGTTCAACAACAGCATCTTCCCTGCCATTATTAGACTGCTGAGTAGACCTCTCTAATTTCAAATAATGTTAATCTTGCCCACCTGAGCAGCTGTAACCCAGTATGCCTCGTTCTGTCTAAGCACAGAGTATGTCGTTGTTTGCCATGATCTGCCTGCACTGTTCCCAAAACAGAGCTTTTCACTGTACTTAGGTACAAGTCATTACAATAAATCAAATCAAATCAAATCAAAAAAATTGGACTACATGGTTTTCAATAATTCCTGAGAGGTCTGGATCCTTGATCTATTCTGATGCCCTGAACCGTGTGTCTACAGCTTGAGAATCTCATTTCACTGGTTGGGTTTGCTGCCCAGGAAGGAGTCACATCCTTAATTTAGCTGCTCAGCCTTACAAAAACATATTGAAACTGAGAACTTTCCAACAGGTGAGCCTGGCTGGGCATTTTGAACATAACCATATGTACAGACCTGTTGCTGTGCAGTACATTCTATGTATTTATGCAACTGTTTCTAAACTGTGTCCTTCATCA